CCTCAGCCAGGTCTAGACCGCTGTTGATAGTAGTCGTTGTTCGAGAGGCATCTTGACAGGTTCTCGGTCACCGCCGAAGGCAACGCAACGGTGGCGTCTCAGTCCAGGCGGGATGGATCCACTGGCTTTGAGCCGAATTACCATGTGCCGAGCGGGAAACTAAGGTTTTTTTTCCCCCTTTGAACTTTCTGCAAGGCCGGGGTTTGGATATAAGCCGTCTCGTTTCCTTCTTGCGAATGGAGGGGCATGATCTGATAATCCATATCGTCGTGCGCAAGCGTTGTGAACAACAGCACGCGTGGCAGAAGGACGGACCTAGTACTCGGGCGAATGTCACGTTCCCTGCCCGGCTATGTACTCCTCATCCAAGGAATGTCAGGGTCCATATCTGCTAGGTGCGAGCATTTCACCGGGACGCACTGGGCGGGAGAACAAGACGCCGGAAACAATGTGTTGCTGAAGGATCCCGGCAACATTCCCCCCGTCGGAGGACGCTTTCCACTACATCCGAGATCCAAGCCAAGGGCCAACCGTCGCATTTCCGACCTGCTGGATGGTGTGACCGACCACTGGTCGTAGCATCGTTGACTGGCATACGGTGCAACACAAACGTCGCGCAATGTTGAACGAAAGGAGGCGTGCGGATCACCCCGAGCCACCTTTGCCTGTGCTCTCTTGAACGAACCGGTGACATCCAGCTCACTATATCGTCGATCGCTTTGTACACTCCCGGTGCTCCTCGATACGCGCAGGAACACACCGCACCTTGGCAGATTTCCCCAGACGTTTGTTTACTCTATCTGATCTCGGTCGAAGCCCGCAACAACGGTTGCTGCAGGTCAGATATGCACCTTGCCTTCTCGCAGCCGCAGAGTCCGGCTCAATGTCTGCATAGCCGGAAAGAAAACGGATTTCGGCCCTCCTAAAGCACGTTCCTGAATTACTTTCGAACGTTTGATTCGTGGGTTGTATAGGACCTTGGAGTCGTTACTTCGCTGGACGCCCCTCGTGTCAATGGTCAAGATAGTCTTTCAGACATGCACCTTGCTAAAGCGGGACTTGCGTCGCAGGAATCTATCTAGGAAGCCGGCGGTACCACTCGAAGGTTTCTCTCGAAGCTCGATGCTTGGAATAGAGTCTTTCAGAAATCTCCAGTTGGGTTCTTGGAAAGAGAGTAATCGGAAAGACGGATCTCTGCACTCGAACAGGTAAGGTGCCTTGACCTGCCACGCCGTTTCCTCCCCACCTCGTCGTCTCTCTTTTACGCCGAATGTAGCAAAGCGTCCATCAACAACCTTCCGTTGAGCCGGGCAATACGCCGTACCCATGTTTTCGGGCCAAAGATCGGGTCTTCTGTGTTGAACCGACCCATGCCGAGAAACTGGTTAATTGGCCGCATACCAGTCGGGTCCCAAGTGTTGGGGCCTTCCTCCTTCGGGCAAAAGAGTTGAATGGCGGGGATCCCATAGATATTTTGGCAGGTGGTATTCCTACACGTCCGTATCTAGTCACTTGGAAGACAGGCGGATCTAGCTGTGTCGAGCAGTGCCTCGCAAAAACGTCTTGGAACAATAGTGCGAAAGGTCCTGTGGTGATGAGGGTTGCTGACGTCTGACGTGGGAATCGAGAAATGCAATGTATATCCCGTTTCACCGAGACGGATTTGTCGAGCATGCGACCAATGACTGCTTTCTTGGATCATACTGCAGTCCGCAAGTCGGAGGTGTCGGAAACAGGCGCCAAAAGACAGCCAACGACTCAGAGAGGAGGTAGCCTCATAGGCTCATAACTCCGGGCACGATGTTTTCGTCTTCTGAATTGCATGCGGCCGGATCCGGGAAGGAGTAAAAGCTGTCTGAAGTGATTGGATTGTCCTGCAGCGCCTCTCGGTGACGATTCGTAAACCGTTTCTTGTCGACATCGATGAAGGCTACATGCAGGAGCTTCAATCGCCGGTCCGATACACTTGCTTTTTTGTCTCTATTGTTCCAATCAGCGCAGCTTTCGAGCCTGTTGCAGCCGTAACAGTATGCAGCTTGGTTACCAGTAAGTCTGGGCCCGGCTGCGCTGCCCAGAACTCCAAGTCAGACGAGGCTTCCAGCTCTTATTGGCATGAAATGTAAATGCGGATTCATGGTCCTGAAGACCAGCCTGAACTCTCGAGTCCGCAAATCAGGCCATCACCCACATGGCCAGCTACAAAGTGTAGAAACATCTCCAGGGGTTTCCGGTGTGTTGGGCTTAGGTCGAGTTCATCAACGGTCTAGCTCGCCAATAGCGTGTTCCGTAATCGACTGGCTGTAGTTCCTTCGGGTCGACATGAACAATACTCCGGCATGCCGGGTTGCGCAAAATGCCGCGTTTGCGGGTCTTTAAGATTGATAGGAATGAGGTCTAGGAATATCAGCCACAGCCATTGGATCGACTCTAATGATTGTTCCGCTGCGGCGACGACCGTTGAAGGTTGACCTTCATCTTGGTAACTAGAGCAAGGTCGTCGAACGACGTTGGGACTAGACAGGGGATGGGATAGGATAACCGAAGCACTATTAAATATTAGCCAATCACGAATGAGAGATGATTCGAATAAATATTGATCGAATTTTGTATGAAATTGGTAGGTCGTGAGTATATGGAAAGGGAAGGGGAGTTGTAAGACGGGATGCAACTTTGAGAACGGGAAGGAGAGGAAACAGACAGAATGCACGGTCCACCAGTCTAACTCGGCTCATCCTGGCGTCGATCAAAACGCAGGGGTGTGATAAGCGACCTCTGGGGAAAGGAAGGAAAGAAAAAAAATTCCAACGTCGATAAGCCGCGGGAGTGAGTTCGTGAGATGCGCATGAGCTTCAAGCAACAAACTTATTCACCAACCACAACCTGTTGAATTCGTAGGCGCGACAAGAAGATCACATAATCCGGACATCTAGAACATTACTCTTGGCAATTGAAAAATGTTCGCTGTCCCAGGATGGTCCGTCGCGGCCGAGGGTCTCAAAACCGAGACCCAGGTGAAGAAGGCCAGCAACACCGCCAAGAATGAGAGCAAGAAGCGCAAGAGAGCCAACAAGCAAGAGAAGAAGGAGAAGAAGGCGCCTACCTCGGGCGCTAACTCCGTTCTGGTGAACCCTCGCGTCTTTGGAGAAAAGAGGGAGGATGCTCCCCCTGCCACCGCCGAGGCTGATCACGATGGTGACGATGCGGATGAGGCCGAGGCCGAGACGCCCAAGCCGAGCAAGAAGCAGAAGAAGGAGAAGAAGGAAAGCAAGAGCGATGGAGGAGAAAAGACACAGGAAACACCCAAATCCGACAAGAAGGGGAAGAAGCAGCGCAAGGAAATGTCCAGTAACGAAGATGAGCCAGCCACACCAGCAGCAGAGACCACACCGTCAAAGACGTCACAGAAGGCAGCCTTGACGAACAAGCAAGAAAATCTCGAGAAGAAGAAGAACCAGGACGCCGCCGCGGCCATCGCCGCCTCCGTACCCCCCGTCCCGCCCGCCGCGGCCAAGCTCACGCCCCTCCAGCGCTCTATGCGCCAGAAGCTCATCTCGGCCCGCTTCCGCCACCTCAACGAGACGCTCTACACCCGCCCCTCGGCCCAGGCCTACCAGCTCTTCGAAGACTCCCCCGAGATGTTCTCCGAGTACCACGAGGGCTTCCGCCGTCAGGTCGAGGTCTGGCCCTCGAACCCCGTCGACGGCTACATCCGCGACATCAAGCTCCGCGCCAGAGCCCGCTTCCCCAACGCTCGCGGTGGTGGACGCCCCGGCGGCGCGCCATCCAAGCCCGACGGCCCTCAACCCCTGCCCCGTACCGACGGGACGTGCTACGTCGCCGACCTGGGCTGCGGCGACGCCCGCCTCGCCTCGACCCTCGAGCCCGAGTCCAAGAAGCTCAAGCTCAAGATCATGAGCTACGACCTCCACTCCCCTGCGAAACACGTCACAAAGGCCGACATCGCCAACCTGCCCCTCGAAAACGACTCAGTTGACGTCGCCATCTTCTGCCTCGCCCTCATGGGCACGAACTGGCTTGACTTCATCGAGGAGGCCTACCGCATCCTCCACTGGAAGGGCGAGCTCTGGATCGCCGAGATCAAGTCCCGCTTCGGCCCCGTGCACCGCAAAAACGCCGTCGTCTCGCACAGCGTCGGCAACCGCAAAAAGGCAGCCGCCGCCGCCGCAGGCAAGAAGACGAAAGAACCCGAGGAGACGGAGGAGGACCGCACGGCTCTCGCCGTCGAGGTCGACGGCCACGAGGACAAGCGCGGCGAGACGGACGTCTCCGCCTTTGTCGAGGCGCTGCGGAAGCGCGGCTTCGTCTTGGCGGGCCAGGGCGAGGGCAACAAGGGCGCGGTGGACCTATCCAACAAAATGTTTGTCAAGATGCACTTTATCAAGGGCGCCGTGCCCACCAAGGGCAAGGGGCTTGTCGCGGCAAAGGCGGCCGGCTACGTGGACAAGGAGAAGAAGCAAAAGAGGTTCGTGTGGGAGACGGAGGAGGACAAGGTTGATGAGACGGGTATCTTGAAGCCGTGTGTATACAAGATACGGTAGAACCGACCGGTTGTATATTGTTCTTGTGACGGTTTTGGTACATATAAAAGTTATCTTCATTTGGGGGGGGAGGGGGGGGGGGTAATATCGCATTCGTCAAAATAAAAATGCCTATATTTCGCAACTACAATCGGACTTGTTGGGATGAAGCTGGGTGTACTGCGGTCGCCGAGCAGGGGACCATAGCGGATACCTTGGAACGTCGTCGTTTATACAAGACATAGGCAAATCTCAAAGGTTTAGTTAGCATTACTTGAAATTCAAAAGTGCCGAGTGTGTCTACCAAAACGCTTTGAACGCATATCATGTCGAGCTGTGCATGCATGATACTACGACTCCAATTCACCCCACATCTCCATCCCGAGATTGTCCCATACCTTTGCGGTCCGACCATGCAGGTCCATTTCAACCAAAGAATTTCCGTTACGCCCCCAATCCAGTCTATGCCCCGAATAAGAGACCGGCTGCGAACTCGACATTGCCACCTGTAGCTTGCAAAGCGTTGATCGCGGCTTCACGAGGGAAACCCAGAGCCATGAGCTGGTTGATATGCTCTTCCGGGAAAGTTGGCGCCGCTGGCTGCTGCTGCTGCTGCTGCTGAGGTGCTGGCCGACCTTGTGGAAGGGTTTGCTGCGTCGGCGCGGCGGCAGCAGCGCCTTCAGGACCACTGACAACACCGGAGCGCTGGCCAATGGTGGTTCCAGCTGGGCCAGGCAATCTGGGTTCTTCCTCCAGAGCCTCCTCGCTCTCCTTGGGAATCTCCGCTTCGCCCAAGAACGACACCTCCTCGCCCTGAATGATCAGCTTGTCTTTGGCCAAGTCAATGCTGGCTTGGTAGCGCTTAAGCATGTCGAGGCCAAGGAGAAGCTCGACCTGCTTGCCCTCCATGACTGTGAAACTGCAAGGCAGGAACATGGTGCCGACCTTGATCTGGGCAGAGTGTACGCGTCCGATGATGTTGGCTGTGCCTACACCACGAGCCACACCCGCAAATCGCTTGTCTACGAGTCTCATGATACCGCAGGCTTCGGCACATGAAGGGGACATGATGGTTGCCTGTGCTCCAGAATCGACCAACGCCTTTACTCTGTGGCCGTTCACCTCGACATCGACATACAGCATGTGCACTCGTCCGAATACTGTGTGAAGTTAGCCTCTCGGTATGCGCATGTAATGCCTTGGTTGTCTGCCATACCTTCAGGGTTGTGCTCCATGGCGTTTTGGAGGTTTTCCATGACTCTCTCTTGACGAATCATCTCTTCAATCTTCTGCTGAGCCTCGATGTCAAAGGGGTCCTCGTTCAGACGGGCAATCTGCCTCTGCCGCTCTTCGCGTTCCCGCTGCTCACGGTCGTAGCTCTGGTTGAAAAGCTGGGCAAATCTCTGGGGATCATCGAGAACGGCGGCGAGCTGGGGCTGCTGGCGGGTGGCTTCGGCACGTAAGTTTGGATCGCCCAGGATCTGAAGGCGAATGAGCTCTGGGTCTTGTCCTCCTGGTCGCCGGCGCTGCTGCGGTGCCCTTCTGCTCTGGTCCGGCAAGCCAGTGGTTCCTTGCATGTCCCTCACGTGCAGCGCCAACATCTCGCCGTCGGCAATCTGCAACTGTTCCATCGTCTGAGTGTCATCTTGGATCAAGCGACCGTTGTGGTAGAGGTGTTGGGAGGTGGGTGCGATGTTGGTCTCGGCTTGGATGGCTTCGCGGAGTGTGGACATGGGCATATCGGGAAAGATCTCGAGGGTCAGGAGATCCTGGTCCTCGACCTCGGGGTTCGTTATGCTTAGTGTAATGCGCCTGTTAGGAGGAAGAAGAGTCAGCGGAGAACGTGTCAAGTCCCGACAAAGGGGCAAAGCTTACATGACGGGCTTTTGTTCCTGGCGTACAGGCAGGAACTGTTTGCCGCGGGTTTGATCGGTTGATAAAAGAAATGGACTGGCGGCGAGAAGCAAAGAGGCCGGATCTGGTCCAGGGAAATCGTCAAGTTTCACTATTGCGAAAGCGAAGTTGAAGTCACCCTCAGTACGGAGCTGCGGAGGAGGGGTGTTGGAGGGGCCGAAATTCAGGCAACACAACAGTGACGTCTCATCCGGAAGGTAAAGAGCTGCTGGATAGGACGATTGGATGAAGCAGAGCTCCGGGAAAAGTTTCGACGTGATTCCGCAGCCTTGTAGCGGTGGTGAACGATTAGACAGGTGGTATCTGATGAGTTGAGAGACACTTGGTCTCAAAGAAAAGGATCTCAAGGTAAGGTGGAAGAGAGCTGGGGGAGGTAGCGGAAGGTAAAGGCAAGGTAGAGCTCGGCTCGGGTACTTGGGGTACCTTTTTGAGTGTTTCGTAAGGAAGGTGGGTGCAGTGACGAGACCCCTACCTTACACAGTACGTTTCCCCGTTTGCAGTGGCTCAAGATGGGGTCGACGGGGAACCAGGACGGGGAATATTTCCGTACTGCGGACTTAGCTACTGCGTACGAAGTATACTAAGGTAAGGTAAGGCAAGGTGGAATGGGGGCGGCCGGAGCACAAACACTGCGAAAAGCAAACCTGTGTGCTCCCAAGGCACGAATACCTCAGCTATCCGCACTGGTACCTAAGCAGCTAAGGTAGGTATTCCAAAGAGACGGGAGGGAAAGCACTGGCCACGGAACGAGATGGCGAACAGAAGCTCATGGAAAGCTTCGGGAACTTCTCCGCTTACCTTAGCTGAACTTACAGAAACCCCGACTGTATGTTTCCTGTCAGCCAGACAGACGCATGCTTTGTTTTGTTTTCTTCAATTTAGGTATTTTCGCGCGGCAATCTCTGCCTCGCAAGGCATCTGCACGTGTACTTGCTAAGCCTGCGGCAAGGAGGCCATTGATGACTTGAGCTTCCCAGTTCCAAGGTTGCTGAGGTCACAGCAGCGCGGGCAGGTTCCCCTACGGCATATCAGCCCCACGAGCTAATCGTTGACTAAGCCACCAAGTGTCTTCAAAGTATCTTTGACGGCAAACCAGGTGGAAGATGGCGCAATCAAGTACTTGATCTATACCTGCGGCAGCTGCGCGAGCCAAGCAAGCGACCTCAACAACCCTTGCAATCTACTCATGTACTTCCTTCTGGAGCAGGTACAAGAGCTGAGAATCCCCTCTTGTTTCTACTTTTTCTGCACTTGCATCTCTTTCTTTTCTTGTGCCAAACTGACATGTCATAGATCCTCAGGATGTACCGCCAATCGATGTCTAGCAGCGACATCTCCTGCCATCTTCGCCCGTGAGTTTCTGTGCGATGATGACAAGCCTACGAGCACCTCAACCTGCTGCTGCTCGAGGCAGAGAAGCACCCTGCTTCCTCGCTTGGAATCTACGTCCGTCTTTCCACTTTAATCATGACGAAGAACGTCTAAAACGACTTGCCCGGATGGCCGACGTTGGACGCGGCGTGAAACGGAGACATCCTGTCGAGTTTCTTCTTCATCACACCATGCTGAAGAGTTCCCAGCATCTATCTACCTGCCTGTGACCTCGCTGCTCACGCTCTACTCGGCGAGCAAGCTCGCAGGTCTGCTTCGGGTCAATGACAATGCATGTCTCGTTTATATGGCGACTGCAAGGGCCGGGGATTTTGTCCTGAACGGAATGTTCATGATCTGACGGCACAGGATCATGATTCTAAGCTGCCGTTGCTCCCACCGATATCTCGCATGCGACGTCTCGAAGGCGAGCAGAGATCGGCGTGCCAACCTCGCTCCGCTGGAGGGTCGGAACTGCAGTCAGCTCGGATGCCGGCCTTGAAGTCGGTCGGATCCGGCTTCCGGTGGCGGCCGCATTCCGGGTTCTCGACGCTGTTCAGTTGCAATGCTCCGCGTCTTCGTACTTGATGCAGTATGCGCTCTCAGCCTCTGCAACCCACACTGATTCATTAGGAAGGTCCATGACCACAGCCCAAGCGGGTTGACTCATAACTTACAACTCAGAATGTCTTCGGACTTCGCCCATCTGACATGGTGGGAAAGCCCAAAAAGTGCCTCAGGGCCCTTCCTAGACCTCATTGAGCCTGCTGCATATGCTGCATTGCAGCGGGGCAATGCAACTCTGGATCGCCGACCCGGAAAGATTCTCGAAGTCGATACTGCAGTTATGTCCATTTAGGTGAATACCTGCAGCTGTCAACATGCCACAGCGAAAAGTTTTTCGTCTGCTTGCTTCGGCCTCGGGGCTGCAGCTGTAATATCGGCCAAGATCCAGACGAAAGCCAAGGTCTATACGGATCGGCAGGCTCAGGGTCTTCTTGCCTACACAGTATGGCGTTGCTGCGGATCTTTCAGTCTTCAAAGCAATATCCATCAAGTTCGAGTACGAAGTAATAGTACATTCTCTACGATTCGACGGCGGGCCGGACTGGGCTGGTAATGTGCCATACAAGTGTGAAGCACACCGCAGCAGGCGGAGTCAGGGGAAAGGAGCAACAAGCATGTCGGCCAAGACCCAACTAAGGTAAGCCGCTCGCCCACCCACGCGAATCCAAAAGTCTGAATCTACATTGCACCGCACTCCTCTTTTCAAACTTTGTCATTGCAGTCGCTGACACTGCCTAGATCTCGTTCGGTTTCTGTCGGCTGCATTGGCCAAAAGCAGCCTCAATCTGACGGGACGGACCAGCAATTAGCGGTCTGAAAGCAAACAGCGCGTTTCCCAATCTGTTAAAGACCATTTATCACAACGCCAAAGTCCCGAGAAACTCTTGATACGACTCTGAGTTTAGAGACTCAAGAACTCTGTGCTTGTACCTTGGTAGCAGAGCAGTATTGGAGCATGGAGTGATGTCGAAGTTGGCTTACTGTGGGGAAATGAGTACAAGTCAGGTCACTTTTTCTCTCTCACTCTTCTCTTCCCTTGATCCCAACCAACCTTGCCCTATGTGCAAGCCATTCAAGCATCTTTTCCTACTGGAATCTACCCTGTCCTGTCCTTGGGCGATAGCCTGGATCGAAAGAAAGCAACAGTACCCATTATTACCCGCCATGCCCTGCAAAGACCTTTTCCGCAAATTTCCATCTACAGAAGCTGGTATGCCACATGAACAGCGTCATGGCTCTTTCACTCAATGCCACAACTTGGGGAAGTTTTCTGGGAAGAGTGGGAAATAAGATGGAGCCGGGCAACAATTCCAGCGTCGCCTAGAAATACCCATGGGCTGAACAGGCCACAACTGTGCCACTGCGGGTAGGTCAGTCACGCGACAAACACCTCATAACCACAACCACACCTCACACAGAGTGTCCAATGATGGAGGGTGTTGCTTTGCCATGGTCCATGGCGAGTCACTGAACTCCAATTCCATCCAGTTGCCTCTTTGGCTGCTGCAATGCCAATCCCATTTTCTACCAACTCCATACCTTTCTGCTTGGTCTGCAGCCAGGTTACTCCTCTTTTGCAAGCCCGTTATCGCATTCACAGCTCAGGTTCACTTGACTTGTCCCGATGCTTTGTCCCCTCTCCGCCGTGGACCACCCGATCTGACCTTAGCCTTTCTGAGACGTCTTCCCTCCTCCGTTCCGACACTCACTGCACCGAGCTAAGGTCTTCACTCGGCCTTGCCAATCGGCACACACCGGCCGAGCATTACTTGACTCACAGCCCCGTCAGGCCCCGCTCTGCAACGACAGCGCCGAGTCCAACGGCCGGCAGCACCCCGATGCCCCTCCGGAGCTACCTGTGCACTCGACCAACCCACCCCTTTCAACCATCACTCCCAGGTACCAACATCACTCACCTCTTCTGGTGTTCATCCTGAAGTGTCTCCTTGCCTTGTTCGAAACCTTTAGTCTCTCTGTCTACCAGCTGACGGGGGTAATTTGACCCAACAAGCTGCCCTCTGGTTGATTCCATCACCTCGCTTCTTCTCTCTGTGTAACCAACAACTCTTCCCACTCCCAACTTCTTCCTACCCCCAACTCTACCCAGCTCTCTACAAATTCTCATACGTCTTCCTGGCGTATCCGCATCTTCCACCTCCTCCTCAAATTCTCTTCCAATACCGCATTCTACGACGCACGCGTTATACACATCTCTCTCGATCGTTCGTCATCATGCCTGACGAGAAAGATCCCCCGATCGCCAAGCCTGAGGAGGCGTCCGACTGTGCCATCGACAGTTCTGATGACGCCGACGACGAGTACATCGAGACTCAGATGTCGCAGTCCGAGCTGAAGAAGAAGCAACAGACGCAGCGTCGGACGATCCAGCATATCGTTCCTTTCAAATGGAGCCCTTTGGTGTTGCCGCTGACCGAGTCGAATCTCGAGTCTTGCGTCGCCCTCGAGGACGCTGCATTCCCTGATCCGAGTCATCGCGCTACCCGCGTCAAGGTGAGCCGATTTGTCCCTGTCTTTCTTTGCAGTTCCCCTGCGTCCCTTTTCCCAATCTCTTCTCCTTGCGCCATCAAGTCTGGGTGTTCCGCCGAGCCAAATTTATGCAGAGCTCGCCTCATTCATGAGAATGAGAGTTCTGCGAGTTTCTATCGTCGGCGGACGGATAGGTCGCGTAGCATCTCATAGGCAGATCACGCGGAATCAAAGGTTCACGCAAAGCTTACACACCTCATCATAGTTCATGTACCGCCTCGCGACCTGCTCAGATATCTCCACAGGTCTCTTCTGCAGCGTCGTCCCGGCCGAGGCCGAGGCTTTCCCCCTCTCGACCATGACCGTCGCTAGCCCCGTCGAGACAGGTCGCGCCAACGGAGCCAAGCTGGTCCTCCTCGGCCACGCCGTCGCGACCCTCGGCGACGGCCCCGTCGTCAGCGACGACGACATGGCCTACCCGGACAACTGGCGCGATCAAAAGTCGGCCAAGAGCACGGATGTCGGCCACAAGATCATGGGTCGCACGCTGTGCCTGCACTCCTTTGCCATCGACCCCAAGCTCCAGGGCCTGGGTCTCGGCAAGCTTCTCATGAAGTCGTACCTACAGCAGATCAACAACTCTGGAGTTGCGGACCGCATTGCGCTGATCTGCAAGGACGTAAGCTTCCTCTAGCTCACTGAGCTACCCTGACTCTTGAAATCTTGCAAGTTGCTGACGAATCGGCAGTGGTTGGTTAGCTACTACCAGCGCTTCGGCTTCAAGCGCGTCGGTCCTAGCAAGGCGTCCTTCGCTGGTGGCGGCTGGAATGACATGGTACATGCATAATGATGCCTACCATCCCTTTTGGTGAAACGACTAACATGATATCAGGTCATTGAACTTTCCGGCCCGCCCAAAAAGGGTCCCGATGCCCTTAAGGCGTCCGCCGAGTAGTGCCGCCGCGGTCACTGAAACCATTGTGGGACTTTCTCCCCGTCTTTTTTTTCTTCGCAGTCCTTTCCTGTGAGCTACGACTATCCGAGCTCTAGACGGGACAAGAACGCCCCTGTTTGTTTTGAGACAAACAAACCGGGAGGAACTGGGAGTGGCATACTGGGTGGGTTGTCAACTCTAAACAACCTCACTTTTGCATGATGGCCTTGCTTTTCTTTTCTTTTCTTTTCTTTTGTTGTCAAGTCGTCGTTGTCGAGTTACCGCGAGATTGTACAATCTAAAAAAAAAAAAAAAAAAAAAAAAAAAAGGGCGGTAGCATCATGAGACGACAGGGCCGGAGACTACCTTAACGATGAGGACATGACATAGAATGCCTTGCCACCTGGATGAGGGCGAGCAAGGCAAAATTAAGATACGATCTTTCACAGTGTCCCCTGTTCGGCCTGTATTCTTTGCGTGAGGTTTTGCAGGTACTGCAAAGTCACTTCCCAAATCACTTTTATCATCCTATGCGCCTTGACCCGAGGGGTCCTATAAAGTTCCCTTCATTCGATCGCATTCATTCATCCCAACCATCCATACGAGCGCCGACCGTTGAGCGTGAAATTCAGAAGATCACGTCTGCCCACAAATCTAGACCGTCCCCGTTCTCTGGCTTTGGAGCTGGCTCTCAAGATTTAATCGGTAGCCTTGTACTTGGCACGGTACTCCTCAGTGCGCTTGATATCCTCAGCGGATGCAAAGCTCTTGGCACCCTCAATGATGTCGTCGAGCGTCAGGATGGCAAAGATGGGGATGCCGTACTCCTTCTTGATCTCGCCCATGGCGCTGGGGCCAGGCTTGCTGTCGTCGCCATCAGCAGCGGGGAGCTTCTCCATGCGGTCGAGCGCGACGACGATGCCGACGACCTCGCCGCCCTCCTTGCGGATCTTGGCAATGGCCTCGCGCTTGGCGGTTCCCGCGGTGATGACGTCGTCGACGATGAGCACCTTCTTGCCCTTGAGCGGCGCGCCGACAATGTTGCCGCCCTCGCCGTGGTCCTTGGCCTCCTTGCGGTCGAACGAGTAGCACGTGGTGCCGTAAGTTTCGGGGTCCAGCTCGGCGAGCTTGTCCGTCGTCGAGGTCGCGAGCGGGATGCCCTTGTAGGCCGGGCCGAAGACGATGTCAAAGGCCAGGCCGGAGGACTTGCGGGCCTCGATGACGGTGTGGGCGTAGGCGACGGAGATGGCACGGAGGAGGTCGGCGCGGTAAAAGTCGCCGGCGTTGAAGAAGTAGGGGGAGATGCGCTTCGACTTGAGCTCAAAGGAGCCGAACTTGAGGACGCCGCCGGCGATGGCGGCCTTGAGGAAGTCCTGCTTGTAGGGGGCGAGTTGGGAGGACATTTTGGCGACTACCGTTAAACAATGGGCTTTTTTTTGGGAGAAAGAATAAAGAAGAGACGGGAATTTTTGGGTTGGTCTTCCAGAGGTTTATGCTTGTCGGAGGCTGGAGGATGAAAGATCTCAAAACTGAAGCTCCGCGAAACGGATTCGCGGATACCCCTCTATTCACGTCTGCCCCGCGGAGAGTGCCCCACCACGCAAAATTTATCGCGATAAAGTTGTGATAAGACGAGGAATCCGCACCGCCGGACCCTGCATAGCTTCAACCAACATCACAAACTCACTGATTTTTTAGTCTACTGGGGCAATTTGGAA